ACACAATTCTTCAATGGATGCGACTTAGTCTTAGCGCTCACTCAACATAATAGTTTCTATGGTTGGGGTGGTAGTGTTAGGGGACAGTTAGGTATGGCACACAAGAGTGCGGATTACTTATACTTATAATGGAATGACACACTTTTGCAAATTCCAGATTGGTATTGCTAGGTGAATTGGCATAAATAAAAAACATTTTGCCCAAAATTATAGAAATCTGGTTGCTCCTCGCCACACAAAAACCCGAAAAACTATTTCAATATTAATGAATATGAATTTTAAGCATTATACATTTAAACAATTTCAGTGACCCAATAGTAGTGTGTCGCAAATTTAACATTTTGAACCCGGGTTCTATTCCACTTCTAGTACATTTATTTTTTGATTTATTTTTCTCTAAATTTACATATATTTAACATTATTTTTAATTAAATTCATGTAATATATAGTTATTTTTTCAAAACAAACAATTACAATACCAAAATATAATAACCATGTTAAGCTTGAAATTATTTTATATTTTTGTTTTGTAGGATTTGTAATAAACTTTTATATTACTGTTTGAATAAAAAATTAATATTATCATGATTTTAAAACATGTTTATATTTAAAAAATATTTCCAATTGTATAATCAACATGATCCACATACTGATAAATTATACTCATTATATCATCAATGATAATACTCGATATATATTTTAATAATTATTTTTTGAAAATTATAACAGAATTAAAAATTTACTCAAACAGGAATATAAAAGTTTATTACAAATCCTACAAAACAGAAATATAAAATAACTTCTAGCTGAACTTGGTTATTATATTTTGGTATTGTAATTGTTTGTTTTGAACAAAATAATTATATATTACGTGAATTTAATTAAAAATAATGTTAAATATATGTAAATTTAGAGAAAAATAAATCAAAAAATAAATGTACTAGAAGTGGATTAGAACCCGGGTTCAAAATGTTAAATGTGCGACACTACCATTGGGCCAATGAAATTGTTTAAATATATAATGATTAAAATTCATATTCATAAATATTGAAATAGTTTTTCGGGTTTTTGGGTGGCGAGGAGCAACCAGATTTTTGTAATTTCGGGCAAAATGTTTTTAATTTATGCCAATTCACCTAGGAATACCAATCTGGCATTTGCAAAAGTGTGTCATTCCATTATTAGAACCGCAATCTTTTGATCATAAATTCATTGATAATAAATCAATTAATCAAATAAGTTGTGGATTTTATCACATATTGATTCTCACGAGTGATGGCTGTGTCTATGGAATGGGTCATAATAGATACGGACAATTAGGTTGTGGACCAGACAGTGATATACTATATGGGGACACAATTCGAGTGAATTTCAGTCCTAATCACGAAATTAAAAGTATTTATTGTTGTCTTTACTCTTCATTTGCCATCACATCGGAGGGACAGGTGTTTAGTTGGGGTCGAAATGATTTCTACCAATTGGGACACAATTCATCGGATAATATATGGGAACCACAACTCATTGCAGACATGACTGGTATTAAGACTATCTGTTCCAATGGTGACATCACATTCTTCTTATCAAACGATGGATTTATTAATTTTTGCGGTCAATATAGAAATGAAATCAACGAATATTTGTTACAAATGTCACCAAAAGTATTAAAAACTGATAAGAGGTTTACAGAAATGTATAAAATTGAATCATTTAAGGAAAAATTGTGTTGGTTTAGTGCAATAATGAATGAAAATATATATGAAATTACAGACAAACCAATGGATATGATAAATGAAACGATTTATACAAATTTCTTCGACTGTTTCACAAATGTGTCTCAAATGACTCATAAAACTATTAATTTGTGTGATTATAAGGAATATAATTATAAGAATTGTGAAGAATTTATTGCAAAATGTTTGGATTATTTGGAAAAAGTATTTTCTTCTATAAAAGAGTTATCAAACAATGGTATGAATTGGGTTGAGGTGTCATTCATAGAGTACTGTATGTACAGACAGTTAGTCATTGACTTCACGACTAACAGTGTTATCGATAGTATTTTTTATTAACAAATTTCAATTGAACGCGCACAGTTTTATTTGATCAAGATATTTATTGAGCAATAACTTTATTTGCTGTATTAGTAAAGATAAATAAGCAAGATTAATCTAAATATATGCAACTGTCCTTGAAATAAGTTAAATATTAATTTAATTAACTTGCTCATTTTACAATTATCTCATTTCGAACGCTTAATCGAACTCTTATTATAATTAGGAATGCAAGAAAAGTGCATAAAAAGTGGGTTTTTATAACTGGTCTAAGTGTATCCATGTGATTCATAAAAAACACATTTATTAATTTAATCAGTTTTTGATTTTAAAAATATTAATTCTTTATAATAATTTTATATGAATATTCGTTTATATAAATACTCAATCGTTAATAAAATTGTGACTATTTATTACAAATTTCTTTAAATTTGTTGATTACTCAGCAAATTTTATTATTCATAATATATTTATTCATCGATTAATAAAGGTTTGAGTGTTTTATCAATTGAATACTCATCTAAACTCATTATAAAGGATTATAATATTGAAAATCAAAAACTGATTAAAATAATGAATAATTTTGTATGAATCACAGTGATATACTTAGCCCAGTTATAAAAACACACTTTTTATGCACTTTTCTTGCATTCCTAATTATAATATATTAAATGATCATATTTTATAATTTTTGTGTTAAATTATAAATGCATTATTTTCAAAAAGAAAACATCAAGCAATGAAATAATCTATGAAATAAAATAGTATTATAAACAATTTAGAATTATATTCGAAATACCAATATTTGCATTTAATCTATAAATCTGTATAATAATTATTATACTCACTTCATAACACCGGAAGTAATTAATGGTAAACAACTTCCAACACGAAAATCCAACCTTGTTAAAAGTCGTTTCCTCAATGAATGAAATCAACTGTAAAATACATATTAATCCTGTTTAGATAATTAAATAAATGCTACAAACAAATTGCAAATAACCTTAAGTTTGTTATTTAAATTTGTTGATTACTCAGCAAATTTTATTATTCATAATATATTTATTCATCGATTAATAAAGGTTTGAGTGTTTTATCAATTGAATACTCATCTAAACTCATTGTAAAGGATTAGAATATTGAAAATCAAAAACTGATTAAAATAATGAATAAGTTTTGTATGAATCACAGTGATATACTTAGCCCAGTTATAAAAACACACTTTTTATGAACTTTTCTTGCATTCCTAATTATAATTTGAATAAAAGGAGTAAATGAATCTAACAATTCAGTTTTCTCTTAACAACTAATTATTTTAATTTTATTTATTCAAAAATGAATAATTAATTAAATTTACTGTTAATAAGCTTATGACTTATCCCTCTCTCCTTTGAGTAGTACTTTTGAATGACATTTTAACAAAACTGAATGAATGAATGGATTTATGTAATTTGTTTTATAGTTGTTTCCGAAGTGAATGAATACAACCGTTTATACGAAGAGTTGCATTCATTAGGTTCGGGAGCTTTTGGGGAAGTATTTGTTGCTAAACGTAAATATGATGGACAAGAATTTGCGTTTAAGAAAATAAGATTTGAAAGTAATTTAATAATCATTTTATGTATTTAGTATAACTAAGTATGAATAATAAGTATAACTAACATATTATCATACAACATTAAATGTATAATAATTTATTTGTAAATCATCCAATTTAGTCAAAATGTTTATAAAAATTTTGAATTATTAATGATTATAACAACTAATACACTTATAGGTGATAACAATTTAAGAGAATGTATGCAAGAAATACAAAAATTGGTAAAAGTTAGGTCAGAATATTGTGTTAAATATATCAGGCAATGGTGGGAAGACAATGTGTATTACATTCAAATGGAGTTGTGTTCCCATAGTCTGCAGAATATTCTTCAAAACAAACCACAAGTATTTGGTCGACAACCGGGAGAACCCAT